CATAACTTTTTAGAAAAGGAAGATGGCACGCAACAATATATGACCATAGGGGTAGTATCGATTAGCAAGGAAATGATTAAAAAAAAAAAAGTTCAAAAGTACAAAAGGTGAAGAGCCATGGAATTTATTTCAACTTAAAAACACACTTCAATTGAAGCATTGTTGTCACAAGGCATCAGTCTAGTCACTGGATGGTAGGGAGTTTCAGGGAGAGATAACAAAGGTGAATATAACCTCAGAGTTCATATACCTACCTAATTGCTGGTGGAAGAATGGCTGCTCCTCCAATTACAAAGCAGAGGCAGTTCCTGGAGGCCAGGAGAAAGAAACAAACTCATCTCTGACAAGATGGCATGAGGATTCAGGTGTCAGTAGCCCTTCTGAGACAAGCTTCCCAGCTGGGCCATGAGGACTTTTCCTTTTTGCGGCTGCTTCTCCTCTTTTCCCCCCAGCACACTCAGAGTGCATTTTTCCATGTGCAAGATTTTAACGACACACACATAAAATAAACTACAGGCTTATTTTTGTTTATATTACATGAAAGCAGCTTATTTTGTTTTGTTTCAAACTTGGTGTTGTTTTTTTCCTGACCCATGATAATTCTAAATCAGCAATTTTAGAACAATGAATGTAGTTGACTATATTGAATCTTGTTTTAGTTTTTCTTGTGGGAATTTTGACTCTTTTAATAATGTTCTTCTTTAAGGCCTTGAAAATATTGACAGACATATAAAATTAGAGTTATATAAGGAGAAAGAATTCATCCTGCTATGCTTGAGGGAAATACACCAGAGATAATCAGACATATCCATTTTGATCTTTGCCTTGTTTTCTCTAAATCAGTACTAAATAGTACCAAGAGGCCCCTTGGAAATATATTATTTGAGCCCCATTAGAGATTCCTATTGAAGAAAATTTTCCAATTCATGTCTTTGACTGATTTAACATAGAAAATGCCAAGTCAGTTGGTAAATTAATGGAGCCTCTCTACTTGTCAGCAAAACATGCCTTTGACTACTTAATATGACTGTCAGAAATATGAATATTCCAAACAGGGCAGTGAAGCCATCTCTGAAGGAAATAAGATATTAACATTATTGTTGCTTTGTTTGTTTGCTTTTAAAGAACCTATACAGAATATTAAATGGACTAGGTAGAGAAAATATTTGGATATATATTGAACACTTCAATCCTTTAAAGACACCTATTGTTTTTCTTACTTATTGTCTCTTTTTTTCCTTCCAATTTGCCTTTCTTGTTTTTTTTTTTTAAATTGAAGTGAGCTAATTTACAATACTATGTTAGTTTCAGGTGCACTGCATAGTGTTTCAGTATTTTTGCAAGTTATATTTCATTAAAGGTTATTACTAGATAATGGTATGATGATTCTCTGTGCTGTGCAACGTATCCTTGTTGCTTATCTACTTCATGCATAGTAGTTTCTATCTATTAATCCCATACCTCTATCTTGCCCCCATATCTCTCTCCCCTCTGGTAACCACTAATTTGCTTTCTATATCTATGAGTCTGTTTCTGTTTTCCTGACATGCATTCCTTTGTTTTACTTTTTAGATTCCACATGTAAGTGATATCATACAGCATTTGTCTTTCTCTGATTTATTTCACTAAGCATAATATTTTCTAGGTCCATGAGTATGCATTCCCTTCCCCAGGGGATTCTTCTCACCTCGGGATCAAACCCAGGTCTCCTGCATTGTAGGCAGATTCTTTACCATCTGAGCCGCCAGGGAAGCTCATCTAGATCCGTTCATGTTGTTGCAAATGGCAGAATTTCATTAGTTTATGGCTGAGTAATATCCCATATCTTCTTCATCGAATCATCAATTGATGTACACTTAGGTTGTTCCCTATCTTGACAACTGTAAACAATGCTGCTATGAATATTGGTGTGAACATATCTTTTCAAATTAGTATTTTGGGGCTTTGGGGATATGTACCCAGGAACAACCTAAAAGATTTTCAGTGGAAAATGGAAATGCTTTGTCATGTGGCAGTTCGATTTTTTAGTTTTCTGAGAAACTTTCATACTGTTTTCCACAGTGGCTGCACCAATTTACATTCCCGCCAGCAGTGTACAGATTACGTGCATGCGACTTTGCTTCAGTCGTGTTCAACTCTGTGTGACCCTATGGACGTAGCCCACCAGGCTCCTCTGTCCATGGGTTCTCCAGGCAAGAATCCTGGAGGGAGTTGCCATGCCCTCCTCCAGGGGATCTCCCGACCCAGGAATAGAACTCCGGTCTCTCACTTCTCCTACACGGCAGGCAGGTTCTTTACCTCCAGCGCCACCTGGGAAGCACCGCAGATTACCATTAGACACATGAAAAGATGCTAAGATGCTCAGTATTGCCAGAGCATTTTCTTGGCTCAGCCTGGGTCACAAGCCAAGGCTGTCACAGGAAACTGGAGGCTCTAGAGCAGTGCTCTCCGCCCTTCCAGACTTGCCTTGAGGGCAAACCAGGGAGCGCACCCTTGCCATCAGTGTCCAGGCGTCCCAAAGCCCTCTTCTCTGCACCAGGGGTCCTCTCACCAGCTGGTCTTCCCCACTGCAGATCCCGGGACCCAGGCGTCCAATCAGAGGCTCTCCCCTCTCGCTAAGCAGGGTGTCCACCTCTGTATTTTCCCTTTCCTCTGAGCCACGCCCAGGGAGCACAGATCCAAATCACATGGCTTTTCTTCCCTTCCTTCCTGAGTACCTGTAAATTGTCTTAGAGCTTGGTCGTTCAGCAGCCCTCCTGCCAGTTTCCAGTTAGTTTCCGGTGAGAAGTTTTCCACACGGAGGCGTGTTTCTGACGTGTCGATGGGGGAGGGGAGCTCCTCTTACTCCGCCATCTTGATCAATCCCCATTCTTTCTTCTTCTGTGCCTCATTGTTCCTTGTTTGATTTTGAAGTTGCTGACGTGAACTTCTCAGAGAAGCCTGGATATTTAGTGAGCAAGTTGTTTTTTAAGATGACTAATCAAATGTAGAGCTGCCTGGATGACTGCCTGGGTAAGCTGTTTACCCAGAAACATTCAAATATGTTGCTCTCCTGAATCTCTAAAAGCGTCTTTGATTGAGATAAGATGGAAATGAGTATCACTGCCCCTCTGAACAACTGGATCCTAAGGTGACATAGCTTAGAGAATATGAGATGCTGACTTTTGAATTAGCTGAATAAGACAACACAAAGCATGTTAGGATATAATAAATTCAGTTTCATATAGCCTAATATATTACCTTTAAACATAAACATTCACAACTATGCAGTATGTGTCCAATTACATATATTAACTGCTTTCGATTTGCAGAAAATAAAAGCACTGTATAGAAGCACCCTATATTCAAAGTTATTTTCTGACTTAAAATATTTACTTACTATCAGTGCATTGCTAATTGCTTGTAATTTTGCCTTCTATAATTATACTAATATGCTGAATAAAGTGTAGTCTGATGTATTAATTTATATATCTATTAGTCAATTGGATGAATCTGCCTCCATTTATTTACGGCCTAGATGCCTCTCTTCTATTCCAAGTGCATGAATGTTTGCTCATATGCTTATTTTCTTGTGCTTATTTAAATGCAATGAATTAATATATCAACTCATTTCACCACATCCAGACACTCAACTCATAAAGTATCTCCAATATAACAACATTAAGTATTATGCCAGGAAAAGTCTTCCTGGGGTGTGTGTGTGTGTGTGTAGTGTATGTGGATATATGTATACATAAGAACAGTGATCTTTACAGTTCGATGTCATTAAGGTCAGTGATATATTTTGTGGACCAATTTATCCAGTAATTAAATATATTTGCAGGAAGCAAGGTTTTATGTGTACAGTATCTGTAATATCTTTAGGCAGTTCATATTTAATATATGCTTCAGTGCCCAGAAGATAGATTGAAACACAGAAGCCTCAAAACCCAGAAATCACTTTTATCAGCACTTCTGGCCTCAAGCATGACTTTTTGAACATCATCCATTTGAGTTATTATGGTTCAAAGATTAAAAGCTCAATACAGGGAAGTTAGACCATGATTAGAAAAAAAACACAATCAACTGAATACAGGCTACTGAAATAACATTTACAAGATAAAATGCAATGACTTTGAACATGAACAATAGGTATTCCACGGTTTCTCCAATATTACCATTAAATCGTGTAAGGAAAGTTATTTGCTTAAAAAATAAAATACAGACTTTAAAATACTGTTCATGCTGTTTTGAACTTGATAACTTGCATGGTTAACACCAGTTTTAAAGTACTTAGCATTGTTCTACTTAGAGTTTTTCACACTTTCTTTGTAGACCTGAAAACATATAAATAGTTTCAGAATACAAGAAAAGTTTCCTCTTTTCAGAGAAATTATCCCACATGTTATCAGAGTATGTAAATTAATGCCTTCCTTTTATTAAGTGCTCCTAAGAAGCTGTGATGGTGGGAGGTGTAAGTTACTAAAGCCCCCAGACAGGTATTGAGAGTGGATCTGAGATGGGGTTGAGGACAAGGAAAGGGGAAGAAAGTTCTAAATGCCTACTAGAAGCTAGAGAAAATTTTAAATTTGGAGGATATTTTGAAATACAAATATAACCTCATATTTTTAATGGCATATTAAATGGCATTAAATGGCATATTTTAATGGCATCTAGCACATGCCAGGTAAAATGCCAAGTCTGCAGGCAGCCACCAAGAACAAAGCAAACATCGTCTCTCCTTGTGTACATGCAAAGATTTCCCAGCTGGCTAAACCCACAGATTTTGTCAGGCCTATGTCAGGGATGTAGATGTCAAATATGTACCCGACCATCCTGGCCCAGCAATATTCTACCAAATTAGAATCCTGAAAGGATGGCAATTTTAAAATACTAATTTAGATGTAAAACATACTGTAGAGATTAAATAATATATGTATTTCTCTTCTTTTTAAAAAAAAATACATGTTCATGGTTTCTTGGATGCAAGATTCATTTTTAAACCTTTCCTCTGACCATAGGAGCTGATGCTGTGGAAGCTCAGTGTAAAAGATTTGAAGTGAGAGCGAGTGAAGATGGCAGGGTGCTGTTTTCTGCAGATGAAGATGAGATTACCATTGGGGCTGAAAAGCTGAAAGTTACAGGTACTGTAGATGGAGGTCTTGGAACATTGTTTACTTCCTGAAAGAATATGCAACTGAACAAGAAATGACTTTTTAATATCTGTGGTTCACATGTCAGAAATTAAGTCTCACATAATATCATGGTATCACATCATTTGATTTTCCAATAGTAATCAAACAGAAAGCCCTAGGTTGAGGTTGCAGAAGAGACTATAAATATATTAGCCTTACTGTTACAAAAGCAAAGCTGCATGTCTCAGGCAGGGTTAGAGGGAGGAAATTGAGTATGGAAGGTTGAAGATAAGGTGGGGTGCAATGATAAAGACTCAAGGTGATAGATAAATATAATCTAGAGGTATTATTTAAAAGTAAAAGATATGCAAAAGAAGATCTAAATGTAAATATCAACTGAAGTAGAGGGAAAGGTTATAAATAAGCTAAATTCTTGTTCTTTAGGGCTCATAATTGTCTTCCAAAGCGTATAAATCAAGAAATAGTGCTAATCACCTATTATTGAGACATTATTAAAGTCATTATTCTAATATTAGGGCCATTAGTGTCAACCACCAGCTGAAATGAAAAAGTAAAAGCAAAAAACAAGAAAATGGAAATTTAAAAGCAGGACTGGGAATAGGGGAGAATTTTATTAAGACTATTTTAAGCATTTTAAGAACAATATCTTTTGAATTATCTGAGTTACAACCGCAATGCATATTATTTGCTAAAATATTTTAAAACTACTTAAGGAGGCCTATATTTAAAAAATGAAATATGTGTGGCTTAGCATTTCCCAAATTTGAGTTTGGGGACAGTTCACGGGATACCTGTCATATCTATTTAGGTAAATGGAGACTGTAGGCCATTGAGGGCAGTTTACATGGTAAATGACCTCAGCTCTTGGGCTGTTTGGGTTTAATCCTGCTTCTACCACTCAGTATTTTGAGTAAATTCTATGCTGTCTATTTTCTTAAATCTAAATGATTGAAATGATAATGATTATTAGTGCACAAATTATGTGCATGTGTGTGCACATGCCTATGTATGCAAGTGTGTGTTTAGAATGTCTTGGACACATAATGAAGACACTGTGAAGGTTAGCCTCCTATTTTTATTAATAATGATAATATTGCCAATATCCCAGATACAAGGGCTTGTGTGGATTTCAGAAAGATACACTAGTAGATGGCAGTTAAATTCAGCAAGGATTGCAAAATGGGGATCCTCACTGGGTATCTCTGGTCTGGCTCACAATCTACGACCACCAGACTTCCTGTCCCCAGGGCCTTCTTTCTTCCTTCTGTGAGTCTGTTGAGGAGCTGGAGTGTGCACCACTGGGCTGGTGTTTGGACTGCTCCTCATGACTGCCTGTCAGCCTCATTCTCTTTCTAAAAACTCCTTGGAAGGTCAGAGAAGAAATCATGCGCTTGAGGTAAACACTGGCTTTCCTAAGTCCTGAGTTGACAGTCAGGGAACCAAAAACCTTTTTTATTAAATTAAAAAGCATGAGGATTTGGGTTGGCAAAGGGCATAGACAAATCAGAAAGGTCATTGATTACAGGGCCCTTGGTGATAATATTTGAGTTGCAAGTTGACGGGCAAGTCAGGAACCAGGGTAGAAATGCACTTAGGAGGATTAGGCATTTGTGATTTTAACAATTTTTGCACATTGGTAGTACCTGCCAGTTATCAACTTTGCTATCAATGTAATCCTCATAGCTCTTAGGATATTACACTTATCCAAAGATTATTTCATCCATGTCCAGGTATTCACATTGGGTACTTTGTATTCATAAGTAAAGGGAAATTCTCGAGCACTTAGCAGTGTTTATGATCTCACAGAATTATAACTTTCTCTGATCTTCATATTACCTTGATTGTCCTCATAACTGTTGCAGTGAAGTCCTTTCTTCACAAAATTAGACCCACTACCTAGTTTTTTTTTAAATTTTTCTTTGAGGTGGGTAGGTACTCACCGTATTTCCTCTTTTTCTTAGTAGCCTGGCAGCCATCCTTGAACTGTTAATTGGACTCTTAAGTCAGAAGAGAGTGTTCTCTGAAAAAACTCACTTCCTCTGCTTTTTACTTAACCGTGTTTGGCAGTCATCTCTGCTGCCCTAGTCACTCTTTCTCTCTTTCCTCTCTGTGAGCATGTGTGGGAATGTGTGTGTGTGTGATGTAGGTGTGGTAAACTGTATAATGTCTACATGGTTAGATACATGTATCTCACTCTAGCTCTCTCCATTTTCCCCTGTCTCAAATATATACACACAGCTTCAGGTTTTTTCTTCAATACTCTCTTTTGATCTGTATTATCTCAAAAATTGATTAATCTACACTAATCCAGGAAGATGACAAAAGCAAAGCAAAACAAAACAATAAAATCAGCTTATTTTTGAACTTGTCTGTAACACTAAACAAGAGAAAATAGAGTTTTGAGGGGGGAAAAAGTGATTAAAGGTAATTATTTGCATTTGTCCCCCCCAAAATTGATTAATCAGTTTTATAATATATTAATGTATCATATGACTCCAGAAGATGTTAAATAATAAAATAATTTGACTTTGAGGTCATAATTACAGAATCCAGGCAGACTTTTGTAAAGGATGAAGGTTTAACACAGGAGGGAAGAATGAGAGCATTTGTAATAAGTAACCCTGGCTTTTCAACCATTGCAGACATGCAAGGGACTCCACATCATTCAAAAATAAGTGCTAAGTTGGGGAGCACTTTAACATGATTAGAATCTCTCCCAGAACCTAGCCACACTTCTGTTTCTTACAGAAGAGCCCAAATACATCCACAGACACAGACGCAAACACACACATACTTGACGCCTTCTCAAATTCCTGCAGAGTCCTTTACTACATTACCAGAATACCACATATGAACTTTATAATGGCTTTATTTCTTCCTGTGATACTTCTAAAATAAAGGAAAATAAAGTTATCAAAGGAAAATATGATTGAGAATTTCCCATGCTTAGAGGAGAAAACTGTGCATAACGTAGCATGCAATTTAAGGGCACCGGGATTGATTAGTAACCTCATATGTGCTTTAAAGCAGTGCTTGAATATTTAACAAATAATACTACAAAGAATCAGTGACTCCAGGGTATTTCATATAAATTAGGTAGCAGTGCTGACAAGACTTCAAAGTTGTGTGTGACAAGAGATCTGTGTGAGGTTGATTCCAGAATTTTAAATTTGAGAAAAGAAATTTCTCTATTTAAGCAATATCCGTGGGGATTAAAATGGATCCTTTCTAATTTACATTTTAAGAAAAGTGGTGTTTCATACATGGACTTCTCTTTCAGGGTAACAGAAGCGGATGAATTTATTTAGACAATAAGTGGGTCTATACTCCTGAGACAAAATCATTTGTGACTATATTTATTTGCAAATCTAGTGTAGTTCAGGATATTTAAATTTCCTGTATTGAAACATAGCAGGGATGTACTCAATACATTTAAATACTTTTAGGGTGCAGGAGAGTAGAACTAAAGTGGCCAAACAGCTCCCTGAACACCACCACCCCTCATTACCCCATCAGCATGATCAGTAATCAATCATATGCTTTCAACTTGTAATTTTTTTACTCCTGATATAGCTTCACTTGCTCAATAATACTTTGCTTAAATTTTAATTTGAGTATACTTATATGACCTTAACATGCCCCCTCTATATCATTGAATACATGGGAGTTTCACACATTTGGCTTATATATGCATACTTGACAATTTTATTTTCCTTTGTATTTGTATTCCCTAATATTGATCAAAGATATTACTTAATGCAATTATCTTTTTAGACCAGGTCAGTAAATACAAGATATAAACCTTTACACTCAGAAGACTCTTAAATTTAGGGCTTTCAGGCAGAATCAATCAACTGTAATTTGTTCTTTCATTTGTATTCCAAGGAGTATATTAACTTAGAAAACAAACTGCAACTTATTTGACTTTATACTTTAGCCCTATAGGATACTTTCATGTTAAATTAAAAGCCATTAGGTGGAGTTAGATCTCTCCATTTTGCCTTTGAGAGAAAAGTGAAAAATAGCTCAATGTATGAGAAGAAAGGATCTTTTTTTTAATCAGGTGGTAGAAATTAAAACTGGCAATCTGAAAGAATAATGCATCCGAATCATGTATCCACCCTGTGCCCTTGGGCTTGCTTGAAAGCCAAGAGTGTCGTTCTCTTGTCTCTGCTCTAATTGAATGTTTGGAAAGATAGAAAGGTCCCAATGCTTGTTTGACAACAGAAGAAAGGATTTTCCAAAGAGCTGTCTTTTATTAATAAATTAAACACTATGTTTCTGGGCTGGAATCAATATTCTCTGGTTTGTTTTTATTAGTTGGTCTTCACATCCTTGCTCTTGTCTGTTAACTTGGGACAGGTTGTGATGAGGTCAGCTTTGAAATCAACCTTTCTCTTGCGTAGGACCATTGTTCCTCTGGGCTGTCCAGATGCCAAGAGCCTGGTGGCATGCAGCCTGCAGGATGGAGCTGCTAGGTCTGAACAGCACCTGAAAAAATATGATCAGATCAGGGGCTGAGGATTCTAAGGTGCAGTCATTTCATTTTCTTTGATGTAATATTTTAAGTCTGTAGAACTGGGTAAATCACTTCTAGCTGTTGTTTTTTTCTAATTAGCCTCCTCCTCCACCACCCCCTCATCTTCTTCCTCTTCTTGCTCCCTCCGCTCCACCCAACCACTGCCCCCCAACCCACGCCCAGTGAGCTGACGAAATGCTTCGGCAGCAAGCCTGCATGGTTATGGCCTCTACTTATTTTTTAAACTTAGTGAGGATAAAGCTTTTGGAGATGTTAAAGAGGAATATGACTCTGACTCCCAGATTCGGGTGAAAACTGATTGGTTTTGAAGGGTATAAATAATGGCTTTGAAGGGTATAAATAATGAACTACGTTGTTATTCAGTCACTCAGTCTTGTCTGACTCTTTGCGATCCCATGGACTGCAGCATGCCAGGCTTCCCTGTCCTTCACCATCTCTTGGAGTTTGC